TTTTTTTAAATATAAAACGTTCCAAGTTCTTCTCATTTTGTAAAAACAAAACATTAGATTTAAAAGATGTTTTTATATTGCTAGTCTGGCAATCCTTGTATTGCAGGTGCATCAGATGTTGTCAACCTTTTTTATTTTTTTTTTTTAATTCCGAAAGCTAGCGAAATATTGCTTTCACACTGGGAAAATTGAGGAAAATACGTTGCCACGCATTAATTTGCCTTTGTCACAACCCAGTGGCCAGAGAGAGGTACTGCATCCTGGAGCGCTGCCTCTCAAATATAAGTGTATGTGGTGTAGTTTGCCAGGACTAAATATGCTTGTCACGTGATTGACAATGATCTTTCGCTCATTCTGCATAATTTATGTTTGTTCGTTTTAAAATATTTTGTTGACTGAACAGCTTATTTATTAATTTCAAAGATATAAGGATTTATATTGCATTGAGTTTCCTGTTTTTCCCTTTGCATTGGATAGTTTTGTAAATAGGAGTATCATTTTGAATGTTACCTATTCCAGAGGAATGAGAGGTTTAGGTTCAGCTTTATGGATTTTGTAGTTAACACATTTAATGCTACTTAAAAGAAATTTGAATGACTTTTCCTGTTAAATTTACCTCTAAAATATTAGTGCAAATTGAGTTTGTTTGAATAATGTTGCTTTATGTTGTCTTTATGACCTGTTGAAACGGGACAAAAGAATTTAAGTGGGAACAACAACAAAAAGTGGTGCTTGTGTGTGAATTTCTTAGAGAGGCTATGAAACGTTTTCTCAGGGAACATCGAACAGGTGACATCTATGAATTCATCACCAGCACTGTCATACAATCTCATTTTATACTCGTTTCCACAAATTTGCCAACAAATGTATGTATTCCCAATAATTTGACTTTTTTTTTTTTTTGTCTGGTGGACGTAAATTCCAGATTCAGAACAAAATCGTGTCCCGCTGTACAGTATATTTTAAAAAATGTTGGACTTTGTGCATAGAGCAGCACCGACAGATTTTGATCAGCTAGTCTTGATTGTTGTGTAAGAGGTCTGTTGGCTCGAAAAGCAAATGCACTATTTTGGATGACTTGAGTTTGATAACTGCTAAAACTCAGGCTTTGTTACGGTTTTGAGGTGTGCTCGGGCGCACGTGTTTTATGAAAAAATGTTCCTCTGTTCCCACTCACTAACCTTAATATAGACGAGCACCCTTTGTAAATTTCAGCTTTCTGAAGGCAACAGCTCATCTCCTTCATATCTGATCAATCGAGCTGGTCTTCAGACAGGTTTCTTTTGACGCATTAATTGTACAGTATTTATTCATCTCCAGCATTCATTTCCATTTTCGACTGTGGTATAGACTTTAACGTTTTAACGTCACTGTGTTTTCAAATGCTGTGTTCTATTCCTCCTCTTCAAAATTTCCCAGAGTTCTCTTTGGATGTGATGGATTTTCTCCAGTGCAATGTATATATAAGATGAGGGAAATGTTTTGTAGATCACACTGTTTTCCCCTTCCCTTTACCAAATGTTTAGTGATAAAACACTGTTCTACTGACTAATTGAAGTGTTGATGGCTTTTATTTCTTTATTTTATAATGCAACTTTAAAAATTAGACTTGATAATAAGTCCATATACATAACAGGAACTTTCAGCTTCCTCTACAGAAAATGTGCAGGTTTTGTGATCTGGTGCACATCTGCGAATGCAAAGCAGAGAAGAGAAATAGCAGTCGTGCACGCTTGTTGTCAACCCCAGGTAACTGCACTGAGGAAATAAGCTATTTCTCTTGTATGTAAATGAGTTACACATATGTACATTGGGTTGTTGGGGGTGAATCTACTCTTCATCATCAGGTGGGATTCCCAGCTCCTCATCTGTCCACGCTGAAGTGTCCGGCCATGGGAAATGACCCTAAAGAGACAATATAGTTAAGTGGCTGTTAGTCTGTTTATTATGAAATGGCTAAAAACGGTAACATTTAATCCCATTGCTCGTCTGTTTTGATGCAGTTTCCACTCACCAGTACGGCGTCTGGATCGTGCCAGATGTGCCACAGGATCCAGAACCACATGGCGCCGCTGAGCAGCTCTGCCTGAAACTTCTGGTTCCTGGTGAGCTGAGGAGATTGTCTGTATTGGGGTTCAATATGAGCGCCGCCTCCTGCCCTAAAACACAGCCGACAGAAAGATTACCAGTACGTAAGTGAAATTTTATGGCTAGCAGTGCTAATGCAAACCCATGGTCCTACAAACCATGATATGTGCTGATACTGACAAGCTTAACAAATATATATGGATATTTAGAAACCAACAAAAAAAACCTACGATAATTAAAATTAATAAATTGTTCATAAAATTAGATTTTTTTAAATCTATTATATTACATTATTTCTGTAATACATTAATTTTTAAAGTACACATTCACATTTTTACAAATTCTTTATTTTCTTGTTCTTACAAAGCTTAAACCTTTATCCGCATTGGACAAACAAGTAAAAAGAAATAAGGAATTATCTTTTAAGTAATAGTAAATGCATCATATTAGGACCTATCTTTTTT